TGATCCTTGAGCACATCAGGGAGAGTACACAAGGAACCCTTGTTCTTTAACATCCAGGTAACCAGCTTGAAATCTGCCTCCAGAAAAGCCCTTTTACTTGTTTTTTTATGTGTCACTGCTATCCAAAGGGACTATGCCCATGAGCATGCCCAGCACTTCAACACTGTTTAGAGATATCATAGCAGACAGTACCTTTGCTCTGGGCAGACAAGGTGCCACAGTGTGCCTCTATGTGTTGGTCAAGCCTTTAGAGGACACCCGATCCCTTCAGGCCATCATTTTTCTCAACTACACTGTTCCTGGAAGAGCCACATGTTGTCTTTGCCCCTGAACAAGGTTGAGGTGCAGCAAGACACAGCAGCTGCTCTGGAGTAGAGCATTTCTGTTCAGCACAGACATCGCTGTCAAGCTGACATGGTTTTAGCTATAATAGCACCTTTTGTGTTCAAAGCCATGTTTTCTCCCTCATCGCCACAACCTGCAGGCACCTTCTACCAGCTGCCCCAGCCCAGCCCAGAGCAGTGGGAAAGTTGTGCTGTTCTCAGGCACCAGGCCCAGTGCAGGCTCGTTCTGCTGTGTCCTGGGCAATTTGGGGCTGAGAGGGGCTCATCCTGTGCTGCTGGGGGTGCTACGGTGTCTAATGAGACTGAAGTGTTTTGCTAAGGAAGATGAGTTATGAGGAAGACCAAGCTCCTCCCTCTAAGCAACTGTAAATCTGAAATTAGGAGGCTGCAGTTGAGGAAGTATGGAGAAAGAAAAGATAACAGCCCATTATTAAAGGATATATGCATATTGGCAGAACAACAAAAGAACACAAAAACAACTGAACACTAATCCTGTACCCAAAGTCCCCTCCAAAAAACCCCGTTCAGTACTTTCCGCCTTTTGGCGCAATTCCAACCAGGGCCAGCAGGGGGCGCTGTTGGATCACTGGAGGAGCAGAGCCTGCAGTTGCTCTCTGGTGGCCGGCAGGGGGCGCTGTTGGGCTCTGGCGGCCGCCGCGTGAGGGCCCCGGAGCGCGGGAGGAGCCGAAATGGAGATTCCCCCGCACCGAGAAGGGGAAGGGGAAAAGGGGGGGAAAAAAAAGGGCTTTTCCCACAGACTCACGCTGTCGGCGGCTGGCTCTGGCTGGGACTCCCCCAAAGGTTCTTTCGCAGAAGGGCCAAGCCTCTCCGATGAAATCTGAACAAGTCCGGGCTGGGGGCAGAACAGGGCGCAGAAGAACAGAGGGGAACCGGGGCCAGAAGCAGCCAGATGACCTGGCCGAAAACAAAACAAACTCGGAGCCTTTACACACACACACACACACACACTCCCTGAGTCAGGGCAAAAGTGGAGTGCCTGCGGTTTAGTGAGGAGAGGAAAAAAACTTACTTCCTCCCCCCCCCCAGTCTTCTGAGGGCCATCAGTCTGGAATGCAGGCTGTCGGCCAGTTCTTTTGTGTATGTCAATCACCCCAGCCAAAAAATCATCCTCCCCCTCCCTCCTTCAGCATCCCTCTTTCCTAATGATGCAGGGAAAAGAAAAAAAATTCCGACTTGGTTTTTTTAGAACAAGTAAACCTGTGACATACGGCTGGGGCTGGAGGGTGTATAGAGGGTATTTGGAGAGGGCTCTGGCCCCGCAGCCTGAATGGGACAGGCAAATGCTGCTGGTTACACACTGCCCCCCATGCCAACGAGCCAGGAGTGTGTCTTTGTCCTGAGCAGGCTGCGTAGATCTGCACTGGCCCCCGGTGGCGATGGCCCACACAGCCATTCCCAGGCCTGGCCCCACATCCAGCCCAGCCTCCAGGCCCTGGGACAGTGCTGCATCACCAGTGCTTGGGCTGCTGGTCCCTGCTTTGCCACTCGGGTACTTCACCTTGTGAAGGGCTGGGGTGGCTGCAGGATTTGTGTGCTCCGGATTCAATGCTAAAAGCCTCAATTTTCAAAATCCTTATGAGCCCAGGCTGCCATGATTGCATGTGTTACCAGATACAGTGTCCCCCTCTAGGTACATCCAGGTGGTCCAGCATGTGTGCTCTACCACAGCTTTGCACTAAGTGCCCCTTAACTTGCTGTTTTTCCATGATAGTCCTTTCTCTCTTCCTCTGAGTTGCTTGCAGCAGAAGTAGCAGCACCCACTCTCTGTACCATCAAGGTGTGTGATGCTGCATGTAGCTGTGTTTGAAATCAAGGTTTTCCAATAGACACCATTTTTTCAGAGGCCCAGCTTGCACCCCATTGCTCTATTCCCTCCATTCTGTATTTTTGACAAATAGTTCCCTGAATTGACTCTATATTAATTCATTTCTTTTCCTACTTGTCATGCCCAATTTCTGTCTTCTCCACTCTGATTTCGCCTTCCAACACCTTGCTCACATTAGCCTTTTTTTGTGATGTTAAGACATCTCCTAGCACCCTGTGATCAGCTTACTCACAGGCTGTTCCCCACTTGTTTGGAGGTTTTTTAAATTGCTTTCCTAAACGATGCCCACCAGTTCCAGCCACCTCTTGAGCTCTGTGGCCAGATTCTGGGGGTCACAAGCCTCTTTTGGAGCGGTTGAAGCTCTCAGCATGGTCCCCAGGTCGCTACCAGCCTTTCCCCATTGCAACCACTGCTTGCTATGCCTTGCTGACAAACTTCCTCTGCTTCCTGCAGTTCCCCTTTAAGGATGTTAACCAGATGAAGGTTGGATTTCTGATGGATTTCTCTGGCTCTCTCCCATCAGCCTTAGACTGCATTGCTGTCACTGCCTTAGAGGGACTCTTCAGTGACAACAGTGGGGTGCAGGTGTCACAGGCAGCACAGGGCTAAGCTGAGGATGCTTTTTCACCCAGGTCTGAAGCCAGCAGCAGCCAGGGAGCAGCTATGTGCTTGGGAACCCTGGTGTACCCCCTTTGGTTTCCTTCAGTTTTGTCTCTGATACAGCTACTTCCACATATGAACTCTGGCACCCTGTTTCCAGCATCATGTTTTAGAGAAGCACAGGTATCTGCTCTTGCTCTGATTCCTTATTTTTATGTGCCTCGTTAAAGCAGCTCTTCACTGCTTCCCACGCAAATGTTGTCACCTCCCGTCCTAGTCTCTAGTGAAGACTCAGGGGTTTTATGATTCCAGCTCACAGATGAATCATCTTATCTTTAGCCGCACTGCTTGGTAGTGACCTCCAGCACCTCTGTCCTACCTCTGTCACATAGGTACCTCTGTGGTGTCCCACTCCCTGGGCACCTTCATAGACAGAAACCCCTTGAACCTGCAAGAGATTGCTCTGATAGCAAGTGAGAGCTGGTGCTTCTGCATCCAGTAGAAAAGAGCTAGTTTTTTTCTGTGTCAGCTTGCCCTCTTGTGCCTCACAGAGCTCTCCACTGAGGTTGAGTTGCAAGGTTTCATTTTTGGAGGCAGGTTGTTTAGGCTGCTTTCTTTTCCTGCTCTTTCAGCCCTTCTGGGGATTGCTGCTTATTCTGGGGCTAGGAGAATGATCCCACAGCCAAACTCTTTACCTTGTTGTACCTCTGTAAGGCAGAGCTTTGCTCCCTTCACAGAGGCCCTCCACCTGCCTGCATCAACTAGTCCACACTCACCATGGGACACATGAGCTAAGCCTGGATGCTGGTCCAATGTCTCCATTTGCCATGGACACTGCAGATGGGATTCATATGTTCATGGTGCCACTCGAGATGCTCCAGGGCATCAGATACAACAAGGACCTATGGCTACCCTGTCAGGAACTTATGCAAGGTGGGCTGCATTTCCCCTGGCACTCTGTCACTTGCACTTGTCCTCGGTCTCAGGTCTATATCTGGTTTTGCTCTTAGCCCATCTCCAGAGATCCAAGAGCCTCTCCATCTTCCAAAAATACATATGTTTACAATGAGCACTTTAAAGCCAGAAATACATTGCTAAACCTTCCCTGTGTAGCTAAGACCTAAATCACTTAGAAGCAAGTTCAGAGTTAAATGCAATAAGCTGCTTAGGCTGATAGAAGAGCATTTGCAGAGAGGTATATCCGCCAAGGTAAGGGAAACCTTTCACCTTCCCTGGCTTGGTTTATCTGCACACAAGCCCCTGGCTGTGCCAAGCCCAGCTGTACCAGAGTCCTGAGGAGCTGGAGTTCCCAGGATCCTGCAGACCAGCATAGCTGGGTGCCAGGTCACGGAGGTGCATGCGTTCCCCCGCCTCCTCCACCAGTAAGGCCCCAGCAAGGAGGGGTCCTGGCCCCAGTCCCTCCTGGAGGGCAGGCAGGACCCTTGTCAGCCCAGGCTTCCCTGTGCGCCACAGGTTTTCCTGGGACCACTGCTGGGCTGCGGCCGTGAGGGGTCTGTGTCAGGCCGGGGCAGGGCGGAGGGGCAGGAGGAGGCCGTGGGGTGGGAGGTTGGCTGGAGGAGGGAGGGGATGCAGGACGTGGCCCCAGGGCGGGAGCTGATGGGGACGGCAGGGGAGCGGGAGGGAGCCCCGCCGAAGGGCCCCAGGGGCGGCGGGCAGAGAGGAACGGGAGCAGGAAGAGCGGCGGGCGGTGCCGGGCCCGCCAGTGAGGCGGGGGCCGCCGCAGTCCCCGCCCGCCGCCCACCGGGAGGGGCCAAGCGCCGTCGCCGCAGAGCCACCGCCGCCGGGCCGCGCCGGGCGATGCCGCGCCGGGCCCGGGGCCGCCGCCGCCGCTGCCCTGCGCCCCGGGGAGCCGCCCGAGGTAAGCGGGACCCCGGGGGGCCTGCGGGCCGAGCTGCCGCGGCCGGCGGGCAGCGCCCGCCCCCGACGAGGCCCGGCCGGCGTGGGAAGGGGGCTCTGGACAGGCGGGGTCGGGGGCGCCCGGGCACCCAGAGGGGACACGGCCCGGTGGGGCGGCCCCACTCGGGCCCCGGGGTGAGCGTCCGTGCGGTGAGGCCCTGCTGAACTGGGGCTTGGGGTACCCCCAGTCTCTCCGGAGGCTCGGGAAGGCCGTGGAGTGACAGGCGGGTGAGCCCCAGCCGTGTGGCGCTCTCCAGATGTGCCACATCCATGAGCTCCCCCAAGCTCACCGGCCTCTGGTCTTTTCCCCCTGAGAGGCACCTGTATCTGGCAGCTTCAGGCTTCACTGCCTCCCACAACATGCAAGGATGCTGCTGGGCCCAGAGATGCACGACTGTGCCGGACACCTGCTCCCTCAGCCAAAGAGCAGGAGTTCAGGTAGCTTGTGCTCAGGGCCCTGTGCCATCAGTTTCAGCACCAGGAGCATCCGTGTGCAGAGGTGACCATTAACTGTGCGGTCTCCATCCTGCTCTCAAGTGGCTTGCTCCATGGTCAAATGCCACCCACACACTGCCCACTGGATGACCAGGATGGTGTCCTGGTGCCCCTGCATGGCCCAGGTGTGGCTGAGGCGAGCTCTGCGTGGGCAGCCATCGTGCAGCACTGTGCCACACAGTCATCAGCCCAGCTTCATCCTCCATTTCATCCGGGGGGCTGGCTCCCCTCCAGAGCAGCTGCTGAGTTATGCCTGGAGAGGCCCCAACTCTGTCCTCCCTCTCTGCCTCTGACAGCAGCTGCCTGCAGCTGTGCTTGGTCAGGGGGAGGGAGTCTGACAGTCCTGGTGCCATACAAGGCACGCAGGGTGCTTTTGGGGACGGTGCTTTGCTCTGCCCCAGCCCAGGAAAGCTGAGCATCCTGCCAAAATTGAGGGCCTGTTGCAGAGCTCCTTGTGTCCTGGAGCTGTGGGCTGGTGCTGCTTTTCCTTGCTTTCAGTTTATGGTGTTGGGGCAGGGTAGGCATGGGCAAACAGCTCTAGACAAAGCTCTTGGGGACCATGAACCTGAAGGAAACTGAATATTGGGCTGATTTCTTCCCTCCCACCCCACAGGATAGCTAGGCTAAAAATAACCCTTCATCTTGTGCTGTGCATGAGAATAAGGAGACTAAAAAGAACAGTCCTGGATCATAGCAGTTAAGGGCCTGCTTGGGTTAAATGCATAGTTGTGGTCTTATGTGCCTTGGGGGAAAAAATATAACCAGTGCCACTGGCTGGGAAGTCCCATGGAAAATAAGGCACATACCCTTCATGGTGGCAGAGACTAGCCAGTGAGATGAGCTACCAGAAGAGGCAGTGGCATCCCAAGTGCTTAAAGTGTCCCAAGTGTCCAGCCTGTCCCACTATGTGCAGCCTAGGAGCTGGGCTTCAGACATCATGGGCCACCGGGATGGCCTGGTCAGGAGTCTCAGGAGTACTTTGGCTAGAAGTCTGCAGGTTTGGAACAAACCAGGCACATAGGATGGTTGAAATCTTTGAACGCTCCCCTCCCTTCTTTCAGCCATCCACAGCTGTTGGGGAGAGGGCAGCAGAAGGGGGCCCAAGGGTGGGGATAGGAAATCTCAGCAACTCCCTGACAACCCTGCCTGTTCCTCTGTGCAGGATGGTTCCCCCACCACCTGTCAGCAAGCCCCACGTGTGCCTCTCCACTGTGCTCATCATGACCAGCCTCGTCCTCATGGATGCCTACCTGGTGGAGCAGAGCCAGGGCTCCAGGAAGTTGGGCATCTGTGTCATGGTGGCAGTGGGTGACTTGTGCTTCCTGCTGGTCCTCCGCTATGTGGCCATCTGGGTCGGGGCAGAGGTAAAGACAGCTAAGCGGGGCTATGCCATGATCCTCTGGTTCCTGTATGTCTTCGTTCTGGAGATCAAAGTCTACTTTGTGTACCAGAATTATAAAGCTGACCGGAAAAGCTTGGACCTCATAGCTCGCAAAGCATTGACCTTGCTGCTCTCCATCTGCATCCCAGCCCTCTACGTGTTGTTGGTGGCCACGGAGCATATGGAGTATGTCAGAACATTCAAGAAGAAGGAAGATCTCCGCAACCGCCTCTTCTGGGTCATTGTGGACATGCTGGATGTGCTGGACATCCAGGCCAACCTGTGGGAGCCACAGAAGAAGGGGCTGCCGCTCTGGGCTGAGGGCATCATGTTCTTCTACTGCTACATCTTGCTCCTGGTCCTCCCGTGCGTGTCCCTGTGTGAGATCAGCATGCAGGGCATTGGCATCGTGCCGCACCGGATGATGCTGTACCCCATGCTGAGCATGCTCACTGTAAACATCACCACCATCTTCATCCGAGGCAGCAACATGGTCTTCTTCAGGGACGCCCGGGTCTCCAGCATCTTCATGGGCAAAAACATGCTTGCCATTGGGATGAAGGTCTGTATGTTTGTGCAGTACCAGCGGCACCAGCACCACACACCTTCGGGGCCAGACCTACAGCACAGTGACCCAGCCCAACTGCCCACAGTAGGGCTGCGCAAGTCCCGGGACCAGCCTGCCTGCCCCGAGGAGCTGGCCCGGGACAACACGTGACAAGCCAGCAGGAGCTACAGCCTGGGCACCACCATGGTACCCAGCAGTACCGACAAACCAGAGGCCGCTGAGCTCCCCGCCTGGACAGAGGGCAACGACCCTGCTCCCTCCCTCCCTGGGCAAAGCTGCTCAGGGCCCCGAGGGTCGCATGGTGAGGGCCCCCTGTAGTGGCCTCCATAAGGCTGCAGAGCAGTTTGAGACCTCAGCACCCCACCAAGTGAAACAGGCAGCAGAGTAGAGGAGGAGGCCAGGGTTGCCTGCCAGGTGTTGTGTCTGGCTGGGGCCAGGCAGCCCTATCTTGTGCCAGGCTCCCCCACCAGTGCTCCCCATACAGCACTGCCCTCTGGCCAGGCAGGGCACCACACAGGGACACAGCAGGTCACCTGCTTTACTGTTGTGGATGGCCCTGGCTCTAGTGTGGTCCTTGGCAGCAACCTGCTCCCCACTGTGTAAGCCAAGGCCCCCATGCAGGAGGAGCAACGCCTGAGCCTTCCCCTGCTGTCACCCCTCTCAGCCAGCTGCAGGCCTGGGGGGACCCAGAAAGGGGTGACTGTCCTTTTTTGTATTATCTCCCTCTTTGCAATAAAAGACCTGAGCCCTGCAGCCTTCTCCTGTCTGTGTCCCTGGCAGCAGGCAGATCCCCCCACCACTCCTGTGTGTGCGTGTCCCTTGTGTGCCTGTAAGTCCAGCTGCAGCACATGTGGAGAGGCTTGCTCAGTGACTGCCTAGGCCTGGGGAGAGCATCCCAGATACCTGGGTCTGAACATTTGGGAGAGGAGAGGTGGGTCCTTGTGAGAGTCAAGTGGGCTCTGAGGGTGTCACTGGTGGGGTAGGTGTGGCAGCTTTGTCAGTCACCACTGCCTGTGCACAGCTACAGTTACATCAACTGGTACCAGCCATGCTCAGGGACACCCATAGCAAGTCCCCACGCTTCACCTGGAGGGACACCAGTGCAGGTCTGGAAGGGACACACTGCCCGAATCACCTTAGAAACAAGGAAAATAATCCAACTGCTTGAGGCTGGGAGGCTACAGGAAAGAGCAGCTTCCTGGCAGTAGGAGGCTCCGTGGAGATGGTGGAAGCATCTCCTCTTGGAGCTGGTGTTGCCATGCTGCCGCCTGCCCAAATAACCAGTGACACCTCACTACTGGCTGAGTTGGGCAACGCCCAAGGACTTCCCCTGCTGCGGGGAGCTGGGCCCAGGAGCTGGCACGTACAGAGGCCAGCAGGCTCACTCCTCACTACTAACGTGCTGAGCAGAAGCAGGTGACATCCCAGCGAGGATGCTCTCCTTGCAGGCTGTGCTGGTTTTAAAAACTCAGCGGGGAGAAAAAAAGTTAAGAATGCTCAAGCCACCCCTTACGATGGTGGAGAGGGAAAACAAAAAAAGACTGCGAGAGGTTAAAAAACGTTAGTCACAATTTTACTGAGGTAAAACTCACAAATAACACAGCAATACAGAGGAAAAAGAATGGTTTACCCACAAAACCAACAAAGGTAAAAAATTGTTACGTTCCCCCACACACACCTAGGGCAAAACCAAAAGAAATGGTTCCCGTTCCCACTGCGCCGGCCCCACGTGGTCCAGGGGAACAAAGAAAACAATGTGGCAAACGAATCCCCGCGGCCCGACGCCCTCCCCAGCCAGGCAAAAACCACGGGGGAAACACGAACAAAACAGAAACCTGGAAGACGATTTAGTCTGGAAGGAGTTATGCTGCCGAGATGCTGGCGTGGGTCCGGGCGTAGCGGCGGCGTGGGCGCAGGGGGCTCTTGGTTCCCTGCTGTGCGCCTGGAAAAAGCGGCGGTGGCAAAAACGCGTCGGCGGCTTTCAAAAGCGAGAAGCGGCGATCCGCTAAGGGATTGCGCAAGCCCCGGGAGCGGCGTGCGGTCCAGGGCCGCCCCCTCCTTTTGAAGGTGCAGAAACTCCGCTTTCAGTAGCCGCGGCGGCTTCTCTCTGTACTGAGCAGCCACACAGTCTTGGGATCCCCGATCTTACATCCTCTCTCCACAGCCGGGATGTAGCAGGCGGCGGCAGGCTGCAGGGTATCTCGGTGGCTGCGAAAATAGCTCCAGAGCGACTCCGGACCCGTCGGGACGGTGCCTTTCCCTCCCTTTGGAGGAGAAGCAGACGGCATTCCCGGTGGCACCGAGCAGCCATACGGTCTCTGGGATCCTAGACCTGCACCCTTTCTCCTCCGGAGCGCGCCACCAGCAGCCCTCACTCCTGCTTCCGACGTAGGACCATCTGAACTTCAACTGTCTCGGCGTGTTTTTGGTGGAAACCACGCCCGCTCGCTGTGACGCGGGTATATTGAATATTCAACACTAAAGCTCCACCCCTTTGCTTTGTAAGCAAAGTAAGGCGTACAGGCCTCAGCAAGAAGATGCCCTTTGGCTCCAGAGGGGCAGGAGGGGAAAGCAAGACCACTTTGGGTCCACCAGACTTGCCACCTCCTGTACAGGACCTACAAGCGCCCTACATGGGGACACGTACTCATATGCTGAGGAATGCCACATGGCCCCTTAGCAAGGCTGTGGCAGCAGGTCTCTAGCCAAGCTGGCACATCCCATTTCTACTGCCTTCCCCCAGTTACACTAAGACCTGTCAGCACAGCATCACCCACAGGAACTGCAGTGGAGGCAGGTGCTTTAGCAACACCCTCAGGCCAATGAGCTGCTCATTGTTCCATGTTTTGCTTATAGCAATGCCTGTCCCCTGGCCCCACACAACTGTGGCCCACCTGCACACAGCACAGCTGTGCCCAGGCAATGCCCTGTTCTGCAGAGCCAAGGCACTCTCCCAGCACCTGTAAGACAGGGATCATCCAAGTCACCTCCTTATCAGCACAACCACAGCAGACAGGGGTAACCAGAGTAAGGAGAAACAAGAGAGCTGGTGTTCAAACATAATATTGGAGAGAGGCATTAACTCCCCTAAGTTCAAACACTTTTGACTGTAACAGCAACGACACTGGGAGTAAAGGAAAACCAGTATTTTATTTCATACAGGATCAGCTTCCCAGAAGCACTAACAGCCCTGTGGAGACAACCATGAGAAGCCAAGGAGAGAGGCCAAGCTGCTCTGAAGGAGAGATCAGGAGTAGCAGTAGCTGAGCAGTCAGCAGCATGCCCTCTGACAGAGGAAGGCTAGCCACAGCTGGGTCTGCATCACTAGGTGCAGCCCATGCAGAGCAGTGTGATCCTCTTCCCTTTACTCAGCCCTTGTGAGACTACATCCAGATACTGCATCCAGGCTGGGCCACCAAAAGACAGATGGTTGTCTGGGCTGACTCCAGTTCAGTATGTGAAAGTCGTCAGAGGCTGAAGCACTGCAAGGAAAGACTGAGGGAACAGGGTTTATTGACCCTTAAGAAGAACAGACTTTGCAGAGACCTTACAGCCCCTCTTTTCCACCCACCCCTCAGACCTGTGACAAGGCTACTGAAAGACAGCTGGGCACTTCAATGAGAACAAGACAATGATATGGATAGCACCAGGCAGGTTTCCTGGATGAGGGAACAAAAAGTTCCATCTTGAGAACCTGAAGCAGTAGAGCAGAGGCCAGGAGAGGTGGTGGCATCTCTCCTGGGACATTAACAGACCCCACCAATGCATCCCATGGCAACCTGGTCTGAAGTCAGTGCCAGCCCTGCTTTGAACAGGTCCTTTTCCACCTCAGTGGAAGTCTGAGAAAACCTTGAGTAGAGCCAGCAATGCAGGGCAGGACTCATGCTTTCCTTGCTAGAGTTAGAAATGAGCAGGTGCAAGGACAAAAACAGCTGTCAACACTGTAAGCATCTGCACGACACACTTGTCACCACCCATGGTCTAAACCACAAGTTAAGAGGATATTTCACCTACAAAACCCCCACTATTTCCTTCAGTTCAGCCTCTGCTCTGCTGCCTTACAGCATCACTGTGCAGTGGCAGGCAGATATTGGGAAGAAGGATAGCCATCTTCCAGGCCTGGCTAAGGCAGAATGAGTCCCAGTGCCAGACAACAGCACGTCTGTCCAACATCACAAGTTCTTCTGTGAGGGTAGACGGCGCTTGTCTTTGATGGCATTTCTCTTCCTCTTCTTGTTCAGGAAGCTCTCCAGCTTTCCACTCCTCTTCAGCTCTGCATACTTCTCAGCTAGCTCCAATTTCCGTTTCTCAGCTGTAGAGGAGAGGGAAGCAAAGTTTTAAACCGAAGCCCAAAACACATCTACAGACCAGCCCATCCTCACCTCTCCCTCCCTGGCTCCCAGGCTTAGCTTGCCCATTGAGCACCAGTACTAGAAAAATCCCTCCATGGCTCTGTGGAATAGTATGGACACCTCACTACAAGTGCTTGAATTCCTGTCAGCAGTACTCCCTCTAGGTCTTCCTGCAGCATGTTCACACTGAATACTTACATTTCTTTAGGAAAAAGGGTTTCTTTCCCTGCTTGGCCAATTCCCTCTGTTGTCTCTTCAAAGACAGCTCTCTCTCCCTCAGCTTCTGCTGTTTTTTCTGTGCCTGTTCTTGCTGTGTCTGTACAAAAAAGATGGCCTGTGTCAGCATCGAGGCAGACCTCAGGTCACACATCCTCTCTTCCAGTGCCTCACAGAGAGACGCTGTGCTGAACTCACCATACGGTTCAGAAGCTGCTGAAGTTTCTCCTTCTGCTCCATGTTCCGGCATTTCTTCAGCTGCTTCTGAACCATCTAGAAGAGAGCAGAAAGCTGCATGACTGCCTGTCTGTCACCTCCACTGTGAAAAGCCTTGGAAGAAGTAGCCCCTGCCAAGCAAGGTTCTTCCAGGCAAGGACAGGCACAGAGCATCACCTCCTTCTCCTGCTTCTTGATGCTGTCCAGGAAGCTGTACGTCTTCATAAATATTTCAGGCTTATACTCTCCAGACAAGTCATCAAATCGAGGGTCTCTGTGGACCTGATGGCAAGGAAGGCAGAGGCAAGAGCTGTAGCCAGGATTATCCTATTAATAGCCTGCTTACTCTCCTTTCACAGATCAGACCTTGCCATTTTTTTCACCAGCAATATTACACACCCACCATCGAAACATCTGCATTTGGCAAAGACTGAGTGCGATGATTAAGGTGGCAGTCCCTCACAAAAGCAAGCCTGCATCCAGTCTACCAAACAACAGACACTTCCATATGCAAGTCTACACCCAGGAGTATCCAATTCAAGGAACAGGAGCAGGAGTGCTACCTCCAAACACTTGCAACTCCCAGACCAAGAGCTTGCTTAATATGTGTTGTCAAGGTGATGGATTTGGGAACTCAAACCTATCTAGATTTTCACAGATTAACTGGGTCAGGTCATAAAAAAGGGAGAGATAAAAAGAGATCTCTGACTGCAGAAATCAACATATTCAGATGATCCAGCAATAACAAGTCAAAGTTACATTCAGATTAGAAAGTAGATGGACATTTGAACTTCTGGGATTAGTACTGAACAGTGACTGTGGCTTGCAGTGAAATTGTCATTGGTGGGAGTCATTACATCTTCTAGAAACACTTTGGACACAAACACTGAAGTTAACCTGCAGCTGCTCCTGCACCCATCCCTTCTTCTCCCCAGGGAAACACTATCACTGTCTGCGCTCACCAGTAGACCAGCCCTGTTCTCTAGAAACAGCCGCTGCCATCTGCAGCAGCCCAATTACCAGCATTGCTATGGGAAGTCAACTCCTGAACTGGGGAGGGGGAGCACCCACCTTCTTTCTAACAGAGACGACTTGTCGCAGAAAAGGCACAGGCTTCTTGGCAGACATCTCCAATGGCCTGAAAAAGAGAGAAATGTATTTAAGAGGATCAGATGTCAGAATGAGGCCCAGGCTAATATTTCGGGAGTTAGTCAAACCCTCAGAAGAACATTACTGCACAACAGACTCTCCCAACTCAATCCTCCCTATACCTGCAGAGAGCAAAGAGGTGACTCAGTCGAGCCACAGAAGGCTAAGGCAACCAAATGTATAAATGTGTAGTTAAACCAACCCTACACAGAACTTATAACAGCCCCACTGTATCAAGTGAAAACCCACCACCTGCATCAGTAGATGTGCTGTACTCGATTATTTCTCTCATAGTCACAGAATGGCTAGGGGTGGAAGGGACCTTTGGTGATCACCTAGAGACCACCACTCTACTAAAGCAGGTGAACCTAGACAAGGTTGCACAGGATTGCATCCAGGTGGATTTTGAATATCTCCAGAGACAGAGACTCCACAACCTCACTGGGCAGCCTGTTCCAGTGCTCAGCCACTCTCACAGTAAAGTTTTCCCTCATACTCACATGGAACTCCCTGTGTTTCAGACTGTGCCTGTTACCCCTTGTCCTGTTGCTGGGCACCACTGAAAAGAGCTTAGCCCCATCCCCTCAACCCCTGACCTTAACATTGATAAGTAAGCATTGATAAGGTCCCCTCTCAGTCATCTCTTCTTGAGGCTGAACAGGCCCATCTCCCTCAATCTGTCCTCAAAAGAAAGATGCTCCAGTCATTTTTTTTGCCCTCCGCTGGACCCACTCCAATAGCTCTGTTGTCTCCCCTGTCCTGAGGAGCCCAGAACTGGACACAGCACTCCCAGTGTGGCCTGACCAGGGCTGACTAGCGGGGCAGGATCACCTCCTTTGTCCTGCTAGCAAGGCTCTTCCTAATGCACCCCAGGATACCATTGGCCTTGCTGGCCACAAGGGCACACTGCTGGCTCATGAACAGCTTGTTGTCACCAGGACCCCCAGGTCCTTCTCCACAGAGCGGCATTCCAGCAGGACGGCCTCCAGCATCTACTGGTGCTTGGGCTTATTCCTCCCCAGGTGCAGGACCCTGCACTTGTCTTTGTTGAACTTCAGGCAGTTCTTCTCTGTCCAACTCTCCAGCCTGTCCAGTTCTTGCAGAATGGCAGCACAGTCCTCTGGTGTACCAGCCACTCCTCCCAGCTTTGTGTTGTCAGCAAGCTTGCTGAGGGACACTCTGTCCCTTCATCCAGGTCGCTGATGAATAAGTTGAACAATGCTGGACCCAGTACTGACCCCCACGGACACCACTAGCGACAGGCCTCCAACTAGTCTATTGCATCTCTGATCACGACTCTCTTGAGCTCTGCCATTCAGCTGGTTCTCAATCCACCTCACCATCCACTCATCTAATCCACACTTCCTGAGCTTGCCTATGAGGATGTTAGGGAAGACAGTGTCAAAAGTCTTGCTGAAGTCAAGGTAGACAACATCCACTGCTCTCACCTCAGCCACCCAGCCAGTCATGCCATCACAGAAGGATATCAGATTGGTCAAGCAAGATTCCCCCTTGGTGAATCCATACAGACTACTCCCAGAAACCTTCCACATGCTTAGAGATGACCTCCAGAATGAGACTCTCCATCACGTTTCCAAGGATGGAGGTGAGGCTTACTGGTCTGTAGTTTTCCGAGTCCTCCCTTCTTGCCCTTTCTGACACTGGCTTTCCTTGAGACCTCTTGCACCTCTCCTGCTCTCCATGCCCTTTCAAAGATGATGGAGAGTGGGTGAGTGATAACATCTGCCAGCTCCCTCAGCACTCATGGATGCCAAAGTAGGGAATTTCTGCACTGACCTGGAAGTTACAAAGACAGGCCAGGCTCAGCAAGAAAGCATGCTGTAACACCAGTAAGGAAAAGGTCAGCCCCAGGATAACAGGCTGCACAGTGTGTGGTACATATCCCAAAAGAGACTTCATAATGAATCAGGATTGTGAGGATTACAGTGACAATCAATTAAGGGAAAAAGTTTTCCTTGCAACACAGGCCTTAGAGCTTGATGCTTCGGGTATATGAGGGGGATGGTATAAGGTGGCAGAACAGGGTATTACTCTCCCTGTATTACTTGGATGCTGCGTCCTGTGATTTGTCAGGTAAGGTACCAGAAACATGAAAAACCTGCTGAGAGCACCCACAGCGTGGGCATTGCATCCACAGTCAGCCACAAGTAACATCAGGGCAGGAACATAACCGCCCAGGAGTAAGTTTTCCAAATCCCTCTTAGAGCAGCATTCAGTGTATTTCCATGTCCGCTGATGTGGTTACACCCCTGTACAACGCTCCGGAGTCAGCTTGATACAGCACTGCTGAAGCCAGCTAAGTGCCAGGGGATTTCCTTGATGTCCTTTCTTTAAGAAACTCACTTCCATAACAAAAACACAAGAGAAACACCACGTGGGATTTAACAGCAATACATCGCTTAAAGGATTAGGGGAATTAAATAAAAGCAGAATTATGCAAACTGTGTGGCAGAAATTAGAGACACTGTGTGAAGATGCTGCACTACACAAAATCCCCCAGAACCCTGGGTAAAAGGAAAAGCAGAAACATTATTCTAATCAACTGTTTACGGCAGGAGAAACATGTATTAAGCAGAGATTCAGAAACAAATTAGGGAGCGCTAGTGTAACAGAGGAAACCTGTTCAAATCACTTGGATGCAACTCTGAGGACTGAAAATTAGCTAAATACTGCAAATAAAGGGTAAGAGTATTGCTGTTACTAGTGGGGGTCTGTGGAGACCTGTAAAAAGATCTGATAGTTTTTGTTGTGCCAAATACAGGAAAAAGTCTGTGATGTTCTCCCTCTGTAGAGAGGGGAAAAAGGAAAAATGAACACAGACAAGCCACAGATAAGACAACAGCAGGATGAATGAAATTGCCTGTGACTGTAACTCCAGCCAGTGGAGCCAGGCAGAAGATGCTGATAAGCTGGAAGGGGTTTAGAAACCAGCAGGGTAACTATTTCAGGTCACAGTGGACACTATCATACAGTTTGAAAAGCACACCATGCTGAGGGTGACAAGTGCTTTAACACAGAGGGTATAAAGGCATTGAGTGCCAATTTAACTATCAAGTAACAGGTGGCTGCTGGGGATTTGAACAGGATAGGATATTAAGAGCTCTGAAAACAGCACCAGACCATTCCCAAATGAAACACTATAGTAACAGGCATTATTGTCTAGTACATTAAAGGAGATCTATGCCAGCTCCAAGGCAACACCAGCACTGTGAGGAGTTCCCAGTGTAATTTCTGGAGGCAGAGAGCACACATGCATATTTTTCCGATCACAAAAATGCCTCCTTACCCCTTTTTGCCTTGTTGCTGCTTCACCATAGCTTTGGTAGGTTTTGAAGTTTTCTTTCCACTGGTCATCTGTTTGCACACTCTTGTTCTTGCATCGCTCTGCATCTGCAGTATTTCCTCGAAAGACATGTCAGACTGATCTGGAAGAGAGCACAGGACACACCTAAACTGAACAGCTTCTCAAGGCACTTCTCACTCCCAAATTCCTCCAACAGGGATGTCTCAGAGCCTGAGACAGTGACACAAGCACAGTAGTGTCATCCCTGTACAACTGCATGGCAGAAAGAAGCCTCTGTGTCTCTCAGCCTTTGATTCCTCTCTCATTAATCACTTCAGTCTTTACCACTGGAATAGTCTCCCCCTCACCCCAATGTGCCTTTGCTTCTCTCTCCACTCAATAGCACAGAAAAGAGCAGTACAAAGGTTCTACCTGGTACAAAGAGCAGTATGAGCTCTGCACTGGGTTATACTTTGGCTGCATTGCAAATTCTGGCCACCTCTCAGTCCCGACTCTCCCACTTCAACAGACTGTTGTTCCATTGCCTTTAAATGGGCATCATCACACCTCTCACAGCACAAAACCAGCCAAGAGGTGAAAGAAAACCACATGGGCTATTCAGTCTGTTAAGATTTGGAGACAAACTCCCCACTGCACATCTGCCATTGCTCTGCTCAGTCAGCAGTGGAGCAGCTCCCACAGCAGACCCTCCTCAACATACCAGGGGCCTGTGAACTACTGAAATCTAGACATTCAACCTTCACCACTCACTGCCAACAGAAACAGTTTATAGCCTGATTCACTGGGGAAGAAAAAACCCCACAACACCAAAAAGCAGTTTCATATCCTAACCTTGCTGGGAGCTCCCCAGAACATAATTTACATCCTGTGTTTCATAAAATGTTCCTTCTCTTCTCTGACTGCTGACAACACAGGAAACAGCAAAACTAATTCTACCCATGGTGGTAATGAATGCACAATATTCTGCTGGAATTGTCTGTTGATATGTTTCTTTAATATCCCTCAGTGTCAATAACCTTTAACACTTCTTATAACAGAATGTAAAAATGATTCTTTCTGGATTTACACCGCTGGGTGTTCAGAACTAACAACTGAAACACTTTTTAAGTCAGCACTTGGATACGCTCATTCTGTTCTCTCGTAGGGGCAAGAAGGGGTTTGTACTGGCTCACTTCTAAAAGGTAAAGCCTTGGCAAATTGACTTGGGTGGTGTTTGCCTGCTCAACACCTCTGAGCAGTGACAGGCACATGGCCTTTCTGAGCCTCTGTGATACTAATGCATTTGTCACAGAACACCCCAACTGTGGCCCAGCAGGAACAATCACATCCTGTCTGTGGTACATTGGCCTTGGCTGGGTGCCAAGTGCCCACCAAGCTGCCCTATCACTCCTCTCCTCTGCTAGATCGGGAAGAGAAAATACAACAAAGGATCACGGGTTGACATAAAGCCAGGAGAAATCACTCACCAATTACCGTCACACGAGCAAAACAAACAGATCGGGACACAGTTCTTCACGAACTGCTCCAGTCTGGGTCCCTTTCCACAGAGTGGAGTCCTTCAGGAACAGGCTGCTCCAGCGTGGGTCCCCCATAGGGTCACAAGTCCTCCAGCAAACCTGCTCCAGCTTCTCATGGTGGCACATTCACTCACTTCAGTGTGGGGTCCTCCATGGGCTGCAGAGGCACAGCTGCCTCACCATGGGCTGCACCACAGGCTGCAGGGGTATCTCTGCCCAGCTGCCTGAAGCACCTCCTCCCTCTCCTTCTTCACTGATTTTGGTGTCTGCAAAATCAGTGAAGATTCTCTCACATATTCTCACTCCTTTCTACCAGTTGCTGATCAGCAGCAGGGCTTTTCCCCTTCTTAGATGTTACCACAGAGGTGCTACCACTGTTGTTTATAAAAACCCCTGGCCACAGCTGAGCTAATGGGACATGTGAGAAGCTTCTGGCATCCTTGTAGCCCACTCACTACCAAACCCTTGCCACGCAAACCCAAAACACTGCCCCAAGAGCAAGGTTTCTGTGTGCTTTGCCAAATTCAGGAAGCAACATGAGGTCAGTCACATTGGCTCAGAGCATGGACTTACTATTTATTATCCCAGTCACTCTCATCCTGGCAATAACTAAGACCTTCTGTTTCAGAAACTACTCTCATCATTCAGAAAACCTAATGGGCACAGCCTTGTGTTGCCTCAGGAAATGTTTTCTTTTTGCTTGTTCTGAACACTCATGAACTCTGCTCTGTTGATGTCCTTAGTCCTCTGAAGTAGGCTAAGGGAACACTGCACATCCAGTCTGCCACACAAGGGACAAAAGAAATGCGAATACAGCATGATTTCATTACACTATTTCCCCAAAACACCCTCCCCCCTTATCTTACTGCAATTTGACATCCTCTCTTGCTTGGACTCCTGCAAACACCCTTGCCCCTGCCTTCTTAGTGATGACAGCAGCATTGCCCTTTCTGGTCTCCACCTTTTCCCTTGTCACTCGTGTACAATCGCTTACTGCCTGCCCAGAATGTGAAATCCCCTTCAGACCAATGAGCTGTGCCTGCACGAGCACAGTGCCATGCAGCTCAGCAATTTACATTAATCTCGCTATTGGGGTTCACAGAGACACAAGAAAACCAACAAATTCGTGGACAAGAGAATCTGCTGCCACACTGCTCAAATTCAGGAAAAATCTGTGCTAATTATACGAGTTACTGGAGGACAAAGCAATTAATCTCTACATACGGCAATATTTAAGTATCACTCAAAGCATCACTGGGCACACAAATGAAAGACACTGAACAAGGACTAGTGAAAAGGGCAAAGAAAGCATTAAAGGAAAGGAAGAATCATAGAACAGAATCATAGAATCAGCTGGGTTGGAAAGGACCTTTGAGATCATCAAGTTCAACCTTTGATCCACTACCACCGTGGTTACTAGACCATGGCACTAAGCGCCACATCCAGTCTCATCTTAAAAACCTCCAGGGATGGAGAATCCACCACTTCCCTGGGCAGCCCATTCCAATGCCTGATTACCCTCTCTGTAAAGAATTTCTCCCTAATATCTAACCCAAACCTCCCCTGGCACAGCTTAAGACCATAATGATGTGGAAGATACTCTTAACACAGGTTGAAGACAGACAAGACGCCATCACTTGCACTACAATACTCCACTTAGCTGCAATTCCAAAACAATACTGTTTAAATAGCAAAGGCTTACAAGATGTCACTAAAAACAAGACAAAGACACCATATAAAAAGATGCAAAGGATTAGAAAAGAGATTTGGTATAAACCAGAGAAAGCAAAGGCATGCAGAGCTTCCACTGATAAAATATTTCAATACTGGTACAGGTGACCAGACTTGACTACCCAAAACCTAATGGGGATGATTTCCACACAGTAGTATCAGTCCAAGAAATACACCCCATTTGTAGGAGATTGAATTAGCCACTCACATTCATCAAAACATCACTGGACATAATAAACATGTTTTGGGGTAGAAGTGAATGGTCCTAGCAGATGTTCACTGCTGGGCAGCAGAATTGGCAACTGTGTGTGTGAAAAGGCCCCAGTTAAAAACACAGGATTAGTTTATTTCCCTTGTTTCTTGCATTCTTTCTTGAGGCCCTAATTTCCCCATTTTTTCATTCATTTTTCCCCCTAGAATATAACTTACCTTTTCTGTTCTGTCTCTGTAGTCTATTTCATTTTTTCCCTCCTACCATTTTTTCTCTTCATCCATTATTTTGTGGATTATTTCCTCTTTTTTGCACCTCTTGATACGCTACTGTTACCTACTGATAACAGAGACATTTCCTGCTCAGGAGCACAGCCTCCTCATGTTTCCTACCCTCCCACAGACTCCTGTGACACATGGACACCTTATGCCTTTCTCAGCCTGTAGAGGGCTATACGACCTGCTGAGCACATTAGAGCGTCCAGGATGCAAGAACAGTTGGCCTAAGAAATGGATGATATCTGCCCAGTTGTTCCCTGCTGAAACAAAATTAGTGCTGGACTCAAATATAACTCCTTCTGCTCCAGACAAAAGATTACAGAGCCCTCCAACAGATGGAAAAAGTAAAACTACTGTTCCCATTCACATCCAGCTGTGGAAAGGAAAGGGTGCCTGTCAGTGGTCCTCTCTCTGAGCTTTGCTAAAGCTCACCATTTCCTCACCAGAGAAAACCAAAATGACTAAAACAGATAGTGGGGCACCTTACCAGTCCCAAAAGTCCACCTTTAGAGGAGATGTGCCTCCCCCCTTGGCCCCACTCAGACACACCACGGAGAACCCTTTCACAAGACAATCAGTGACTCCTCACACCTGTATCACGCCATGTGTTTGACACCTCAGTTTTGTTTAAGGGCCTTTGCTGTACTTTTCGTAAGGTTTTCGTTCTCACCTGGATCATTTTGAGATGAGGAAACCACACTGTGCTCACCATTGTGGATGAGAACCACCACCTGCACACCCTGAACCTCAGCCCAAGCCGTGCCCACAGCCACGCACCGCCCGGTTCTCCCACTCCACCTCTCCTGGCGAGGACCTCTGGAGCTCCTCCACGTCTGAATTTGCACAGAGCAATTGTCCTGGAGATGTGTGAGATCTTCCACGGTAGAAGGTGTCCCTGCCCACAACAGGGGGGCTGGAAGTGGATGATCTTTAAGGTCCCTTCCAACCCAAACCACTCTACAGTTCTGTGATTCCACATACGGGGAAGGCGACTACGGGGAAGAGGCCCCTACACGGTTTTTGTTCCAGGGACCGCTCACGCATCTCCAGCGCACACCCTGCTGTGATCCCGAGCTCATCCTCTGAGCGGAGCAGGTGAGGGAGGGATGCAGGACTTGGAATACGAAATGTGACCAAGCCATTTGCCAACTCGTTTCCCACTGAGCGGGCGGCCGTGACCCCCCGATGCGCGCTGAGGCCGCCGCCCGTACCGGAGGCGCTGCCGCCGGGCCCCCCCTCACCTCTCCCGCCGGGCCCCGCCGCCTCCGCCTCCTCGTCCCCCGAGAGGCTACCGTCGTCGTCGCTGTCGCCATCGCCCTCCGCCGCCTCCAGCCTCCCGAGCGGCTGCTCCGCGACCGCATCTTTCTCGCCCTCCGTGGCGGCGGCAGCGGCGACTCGTCCCCGTCCCGCCCGGTCCCGGTGCGGCCGCATCGCCCCCGCCCGAGGCCCCGCCCTCCCGGAAGCGGAACCAGGGCACACCAGAGAGTCACGTGGGGGAGCGGGTTTTATTGGCGTCATTTTTAAGCAAAAATCGTTCTTTTGTGAGGAACAGGTCACGTACGCACTCTGGTGATATCCAGCTAATTCGTCAATAAATGGTAAAGTGCAAGATCGAGATCCCTCTGCACTGCGTCATCTTGATGCTGGACCAAGGTTTCTAACACGAGCACCAACTGTGTAAAATGAGGGTTTACCATCGCCTTGAATTGCGAAGGTCTTAGCAGTGACTGTCTGAACGGAGATGGAGTTACGCACAGTGGCCTGCATTAGGAGAGATACAGTCAGCACACCAAGGGATGTCAGTGTCTCTGTAGACTTGAGACCTGTGAGGGCACACTTGGAATGTTGCATCCAATTTTCTCACCGCTCCCCAGTTAAAAGGAGAGGGGAGGAACTGGGGAGGGTTCAGTAGAGAGTTCCCAAGACAGTCAGAGGAATCGGCATCGCCTTCCTCGGGAAGGGGCGGGGGTCTCGGCGCGGGCGGGGCAGAGGCGGTCGGCGAGAGGCGGTCGGCGAGGGCGCGGAGCTGCGCGGCGAGACGGGTGAGCTCCGGACCCGCCGGCGGGGCGGTGGCGCGGGGCTGCCGGGAGCGCAGGTGGGCCGCCTCCTCCTCCCTGCGGGGACAAGGGGTCAGGGGCGGCAGGTGATGCGGCGGCCCCCGCCACCCCCCCGGAGCCCCCTCACCTGAGGCAGGTGCAGGTGCAGGAGATGCAGCGGCCCCCGCCGTCCCGCCTCGCCCACACTCGCAGCCAGGCCCAGGCGCGGTCCCGGCGCAGCACCCGCAGCACCGCGGTCCCCGAGGCGGGCCCGGCGCCGGCCCCGAGCGCTGCGGGCAAGGGAAGCGACTGCGTTAGGCGGCGGCAGGCCGCCTGTACACCCCCTAGGCTGCCCCGATGAGGTCTGCAGGCGGTCACTGCTCTGGCCCCAGCGCCACAGAAGCCACACAGAGCAGAGTCAGACCGTAGGAGTCCTGCCCCCCGAAAGAGCTGGAGCTCAAGGGGGCTTGTCCCTCCTCTGTCCACTGTGGCAAAGCCTCCGAAGCTTGGAAGCTACCTGTGACCTTATAGACAGTGTGTGACCAATTCCCTGCCTCATCCTTTTGGAGCAGGGAGTCTCAGTTGGGCAGGACTGAATTCGATTTGTGTCTGCTGTCCTGGATAGACATGTTTCAGGCACAGCCAGACCATGTAGCCAGAGGACAGTACACATGCTCCTGGGCCCGACACTCACCCACGGCCCTGTGCTGGGCAGCTGCCAGATCAGCATCCTCAGGGTGCAGGAGGCTGTACCAGGACTGACCGACTAGCTCCTCCCTGCGGTAGCCAAGGTGATAGGTGACACTGGGGGAGACAAGGGGAGTGGGGACTGAGTGCCATACAGGGTCCGCACCCTGTCAGCAAGGAGCAGCAGCTGCTTGATGGACAGCAAAACAACAGAGGTACAGAAATAAGTTGTAAAGGAGGGAAGAGGTCTGTGAGTCTCAGTGCTCACACAGTATCTAGCCTGCATCCCATACAAGGCTTGGTGAAGGGAAATGATTCTTGCTGCCTGAGATGTACAGCTGGGGCTCTGGTGCAAGCAGGCACACCTCACCTCTCCGTGACATCAATAAACGTCATGTCTAGGATGTGCGTGCTCTGGAATATGTCATCCTGGGAACCACCTTCGCCATCTGCAGGTGACTGCATGACCGGTGAGCAGAGGGCCAGGAAGGCTGTGGTGGAGGGGGAGGGTGGCCAGCTCAGGGCCACAAAGCGCCCACACACTGTCACGACCCGATTCCCTCTGTGCTTCAGCCGGAAGGCCTTGGACGTGCACATCTCACTGACAAAAGTGACTTCTGCAGAGAAACAAACCATTCCGAGTGGGTCAGAGGCTCCCCTGCTCTGCTCTCAGCAGGGCTGGCCCTGGATCTCTGATCACAGCCACTGAGGGCCAGAGCAAGATGGCAACATCTGCAAGATGCCAGCAGAGGCCTCCCTTACCCCTGCCAGGCTCCTTCTGGGCGAGGAGGAGCTTCTTGTACACATCCTCACATGCTTGCCCATCCAGGATGTCAAAGACCGTGTCCCCCTGGGCGAGCAGCTCCACCTGACAAAAGAGGGGGCTTTCCTCAAGAACCGTGCCTGTTTTGGTGAGCCTTGGCTGGCACCATGGGCACACAGACCACTGGAGCCACAACCCAGCATCTGCTGGGGCAGTGTGCTGTGCACACAATAAAGGCACCAGGACAGTGACTGCAAATGCCTAGTGAGCAAGCCTTACCACGGAAAGGCCCAGGACCTGAGCCACATTCTCCGAGATGTAGACCAGCTTTCCACTGGCTGACAGCACAAGCAGAAACCCCGGGAGCAGGGAGAGTAGCTCTGTGCCGAGGGCCGGTTCCGCAGGAGGAGCTGAGCCTGCAGGGGGATCAGGGTGAAGTGCTGTCTTGATGGAGCAGGAGCAGCGCCCCACACAGATGTAAGATAGTATGGGGTACAGCAGTGCCATGGGTACCTGGAGGGAACAGCTGAGCCCCCCGCAGCTGGAGGCACACCAGGGCCATGGTGTGGAGATAGGAGAGCCGCTCCTTCTCCTGCATGGAGATGGGCAGCAGGGAACGCAATGTCTGCAGCTCTGCATTGATCTGGTCCCGGCGAGCCTTGGAGGCACTCTTGGTTGACCTGCAAAGCCAGCCATCTGGGGAGGTGCATCCAGGGAGGGAAAGGGACAGCATTCCCCACCTGTCGCTACGGGGAGAATTATGAGCTTGGGGATATGGAGTGGAGATGCTCAGCACCCATGCCAGCTGCTGCCTCTAGGAGAGCAAACCTCGCGTAGCTGTTTCGGTGCACTGGGTGCAGGCAGAGGTGCTCAAGGCTACCCAAGGGGACATGCTGCTGGTGTGGCTGGTGTCTCTCCTGCTGGGGACCAGGTTGGACAATGACCTGTGCTTTAGTGAGGAGCCCACGCGACACAACCTCGCCACCAAACCCCGAAAGGATGGAAATTGCATCCAGTGCCAGAACATGCACCCCAGTCCACCAGATATGTCTTTCCTCTTCAACTACCCAAAATCCCTCTGCCCCACCAAGCTCCTGCACCTCCTCCCCACGTGCCAGCTGACAGCCTCACTGTCTCAGGCTAGTGTAAGCCTTTTGCAAGGGCCATCAGACCTGTCCCAGGGCTCTCAGAGGCCATCACAGCCCTGAAAGTGGGAGGTGGGGGGGAGCTCACCTGAATGGCCTTGAGGCCCTGGGTGCCTGCTTGCCCCTCCTGGGCAGGCAGCTCATCTCTGCCTGCAGGGGCTGGTGGCAGTGGCTGCAGAAGATGGTCATACTGCTGGTGCTGCGATGCCTGAAGCTGGCAGGCCTGAACTGCTGCCTCCTTCGCTTCTGGCTGTGGCTGAACCTGCTGACCCCTCTGCTCCTGGCCTCCTTTTGTATCCTCCTGGGGTGCAGAGGCCAAGCCACTCATGGAGAGAGTTACCTCTTGTGACGCAACTCCAAACAGCTCAGAGCTATTTTTAGAAGGCGGGCTGCTAAAAATAGCCTTGCAGCCGGCTGCAATCTGAGAGGGGAAGTAATAAAAGGAAGCCAGGGTCTTTAAAGCAAACCTGCCGCTCAGGAGGGGGCAGTGACGAAGACAGCAGGGATCCCCCTGCATGGCATACATCTGCCCAGTTCCTGGCCCACAGCTGCTGCCACCCCAGCAGAAGGTTTTGTGTCTAGTCTGCCTGCCTGGCAGCTGCTCTCCAGCATCACTGGTGAGCTGGGTGCTGTGAGAAGGAGCTGATAAGCCAAGAAAATGCACTGAAGATATCTGGACCAAGACAGTGAGAATTTCCCATGCTCAGGCCTGCAGCAGGGTCCTGGCAGAGGGAGTCAGGGCCACAGCACCCCTGAACCCAAGAGAACCCTTCAAGGAGATTGGAGTGTTGGTGACCCCATTCTTTTCTTCCCGGAGAGGCCTTTTCCCCACCAAAGGTTTGCTCTCCTAGAGGCAACTGACATGGGGTGCTGAGCCTTTCTAGGGCCTGTTGTCTCCACTTGATGGTGTAGAGATTGTGATTCTTCCCAGACAAGCCCCAGTGACAGCCATTCATGGACAGAATTGAGAGCACCCTTGGGGAGCCTCTGCTCAGCACCACATTACCCAGCCCAGCAAGTCTGTGTGGTCTGTGGGTGTTTCCTGGTGCCTGGCATCCTGCAAGGACAGTAAGCTTGATGCTTCAGTGCTGGGAGAGGGGATGCCATGGCAAAAAATCACTATTTCATTTCACAGCTTGAGAGAGAGCCTGTGGCTGAAGCAGTTGATTTGAGGAGTTAGAGCTGCTGCACAACAGAGGGTAGATGTCCACCCGGCCCTCACAAGTAATCTGCAGGTGCCAAGGACCACAAAGGAGGAGCCGAGGCTGGGGCTGTTCTCCCTGAGCCAGATGTACTGTCAGCACCTCTGTCTCCCTCCAGGCCCCAGGCTGCCACTGATGCTAATCACCCACCACGGTGAGCTGCCAGTGCATGAAGAACAAGCTCTTGTCACAATTGAGGTGCCTTCTGTTCTCCTGCCACCGGGTTTTCACCACTCTTGTGCCACTCCAGACTGCTCCACTGTGCCCACATTGGCCACCCCCTGCAGGTCAAGGAGCCCAGGCACCCACACAACCTTGCGCTGCTGGATGAGCAGCACTTGACTCTGGCTGTGTGCCAGCCCTCAGGGCAGGGCGGACAGCCTAGGCCCTCTGCCACCCATTCCTGGCATGGGGCTGTAATCATCTCGGCTGCCCAGGAAACACCCTGAGTGCTTCCCTAGGCTAATGCTGTCCCTGCATTAGCCTCACTACAGTTGCCATGGGAGCTCCTCTTCACATCAGACACTGCACGTCCACAGAAAGGGGCTTGAGCACAGTCCTCTGTGCCACCCGGGAAGACTGTCCCAGGCACCACTCC